GGGGCCAGCGACGTAAGGGCCAGCGACTAAGGGCCAGCGACTAAGGGGCCAGCGACCAAGGGCCAGCGACCAAGGGGCCAGCGACCAAGGGGCCAGCGACTAAGGGGCAAGCGACTAAGGGGCAAGCGACTAAGGGGCAAGCGACTAAGCGGCCAGCGACCAAGGGGCCAGCGAGTATGGAGAAACCGAGTATGGAGAAACCGAGTATGGAGAAACCGAGTATGGAGCAATCGAGTATGGAGCAATCGAGTATGGAGCAACCGAGTATGGAGCAACCGAGTATGGAACAACCGACTGAGGGAGATGCAGCGGTCGAGAGATCGCTAGACGGGGAACCAAGCGAGAAGCAGCGTAGGGAGCTGAAGGCATGGTTGTGGCGGTGCGAAATGGAGGCGGGGCTGAAGGACTCACCGGCGGCTCCCCTGCCGGGCTCTCTCCAAGAACTGGCGGCGCTCTACGCGGATTTCCACGCATTTTATGAGCGCTCCAATAAGAGCTTTTGGGGCGTCCCCGCGTACGGGCCGCTGTCATGACCTAGGCACTGAGAACCTAGCCACTGCCAGGATCTAACCTCAACGCTGCTGCGGCCCGGGTTGTGACCAGTGAGTAGTCGTGTCTGCTTGGGACAAGAGAAGAGTTTTTTTTGGACAAACTGGAGTGAACCACGACAGTGAACCTGGACACGAGTGCGCGTGGGAGCGATCGATGGTGGATGCCACAAACGGGTGCCATGGCGGGCCGTCGAGTTAGTCGTGGCTTCTTCGCCGTTGTGTCAGGCCAGTGCAGAATCAAGGACGGGGACACTACCACACATCCTCCCGCGGACAACGCCCATAAACATTTTCACGCAGCCGTGGGTCCAGTGCTACCACAGGACAAAATGGGTCCGGTGCTTCCAAAAAAAGCTACCACAGTATACCGACAGCCAAGACCAACTGCGAAGCAGATATGAGAGAACTACTAAACACCTAGTCAGCCTAGGTTTCAAAATCAACAACGAGAAGAGAAGAGAAGAGAAAAGACTGGGCGGGACTGGGAGGACCGGTCGACCGTAAGCAGATAGGCCCGCCGAGACTGGCGCGAAGGGCTTGACTGACAAGAAACGGGACCCGAAACGAGGGCCCGATGTTGTGAACGACGAGTAGAGCTAGCGCACAGTGAGGGAACCGGGTTGAACCGCCGTAGGACGCGCCACGACAACCGAAGTGCCGGCCTGATCGCGTTTTCTTTTTGGCGCTGCTAGGGGATTATAAAATGAGGTGTTTGAATGCCGGCCCAAATTCTCCTTCAAGAGCTGCCCTGCTAATCTGGTTGTCGGGA